CCCGCCCCCCCCACCTCCCTCTGCTCCCGCTGAAGCCAACCCCATGAGGCGATTGCCAGGAGGGGAGCTGTTTGTCAGGGGCTAATAAACAAATTCCTCGCGAACACCTGAATGAACGAGGGCCAGGAACAACCCAATTAAGAAACGGAGCTACTGGTTGTTTATTGTGGCGGTGGAAACAATCCGGGCTCAAAAAGGGTCTATTCAGTGGGCGCTCCGAGAGGTCTGTTTGCAGCCCGCTATTGTTGTCAGAAGCCAAATAAAAGTTCAGCTGGGGGGAAAAAGTGATTAAAAACAACATTCGCTGCTGCATCCTGAATGGACTGGGAGGCTCAGTGCAAAGGAATCAATCTATACCCAAACGACATTGCCCAGGTTTCACCCACGTACTTAGGATTTTTGTTCTTAAATGTTGCTATTTTTAATGATGTCATCAAAAGTATCCCTTGCTTTCCCGTATACGTGAGCAGCAGGGACAACTGTAGTCTCTAGTGCAGCATCGATATCCACACGGCGAGGTACTGGGGAAGTCACAGGAGCAGGAGCTCATTTGTTGCAACTAATGGTTTGTTCTCCCTCTCACTGGGCTGGAAGATTGGTCCTGCCACGGCAGCCCTGCAACAGGGCAGAAAGACCTCGCTGGCAATCTCGAGCTGTTTTGTTGATGTGACACTATTAGATGGAGAATAAAAAAAATCTCCTAACGACCTTGGGCTGCAGAACCAGCCTGAAACGATCCATTTAGCAGCCACGTTACCACGCTGGAAACTTCTGGGGGAGGACATGGATTCGAGCCTAAAATAGGAATCAAACAGAAAAAAAAAAAAAAGCACATGAACTTTTATCTTAAGCATCGCTGAGAGCCTGGACATTTTCAGAGGATCATCCTAGTGAGGGTCAGCAGGGTCCAAGCTCAGCTCCCTTGCCTGGGCAAGTTTCGAGGACAAACCCTCGCTGATCTCGGTCGGGAGTTAGGCTGGGGACCAGGGGGGATATTTTAATAATAGGATTAAACGGGGCCAGTTTGGTGTACAGCCTTATTCTTTAAAAGCCATCGATCCTTCCTGACACGGTTCCAAGATTACCCCAAGCTCTGCTGGGGCTGCAATTAACATATATTAATGGCTGTTGCTTATTAAGCACTGATTGCATAAGAAGCAGACGGTCCCTTTCAAATATGCTTTTTCAACAGTGGGGTTTCTCTCACGTTCAGGTTGGATTGTGCTGTCAACTCCTGATTTTGCCTCACACGCCTTTGTCACCAAAAAAAAAAAAAAAAAAAAAAAAAAAAATCTAGGCTTGTATTTACACGACCCCAAGTGTTCCCCGACCCCCACCAGACACACGGGGCTCTCCGGCCCCGGACGGCTTCTCCCGGCCACCACCGGGGAGTAAATTTAAGAAAACGGCTCCAGGCATGAGGCTTCCCCCCCACTCCCCCGCCCCGTTTGTTGTGGTGACGGGGTCCTTTTCTGCCTTCTGCCCCTTCCCCACTTTACAGCAGCTCAGCAGGCTCCATCCCCCTGCCCGGGACGGGCAGGACCGAGGAGCAGGCGGAGGCTTGAATTTGCTTGTGGCTGCCAAGGGGGGGTGGTAGGATCGGACCTATTAAAGCGCTCTGCGGGTAACTTTAGGAAGCAGGAGCTGGTATAGTGGGGTTTGCCTCGCTTCCTCCTCTCCCGCACCTCGCTTCACCGGCGATCTGTAGTTTTCAGACCAGGGGAGGGAAAAGGGGCTACTTCACCTCTCCCCGGCCCCACTTGCGTTTGCGAGAGCGGTGCGGTGCCAGCGCTGGAGGCAGCTCCCAGCCTCCCTTCCCTGCCCCGTGCTTTGCCTCCTCCCCTCTCGCCCCGCGCCCGTGGGCCCTCCCCACGCGGCAGCTCCGGTCCCTCCGGGGGGCACCGGCCGCAGGTGCCGCCGTGGGGAGGAGCCGTCCCGGCCGAGCTGCCCCGGAGATTTCCACGCCCGGGCCGGGGCTCGGCTCCGAGGTGAAGCACCGCTGCCCGAGCCGGGGAGAGGAGATGGCTTCTGGCTCTTCTCGCAGGCGCTGAAATCGCTCAGGATGATCCCACTGAGAGTTTCCTGTGCGCACTCATCACTAATGCCGAGGCAGAGGGGTTCGAGCAGCGTGCCCCTGCTCACCCCTTCGTGTGGAAATAGAAATCAGCCAAATTTGTAAGTATTCCTCGGAAGATGTGCGGTATGGAAACCTCAGTGCAGTGGGAGCGTTACAGGGACCTGTAAAGTGTGGAAATATATGAATATATACTTACTTTTTTATTCAGTCAGGTTCAGTTCATCTACAAGGTGATTAGCGATGTTTCAAGAGAAATGTTGCCTTGCTTTGAAATAATACGGAATTTAATGTGTTAAATAGAGTGGCCTTTGGGGAAAAAAAAAAATATATATATATATATAATTGGAGTCTCAGCGCAAAGCCAAATTGAAAAATGAAGTAAGAGTCTGAAACTTAACGCTGTAATATTTATTTAAACATCCAAAGGAAATTAATGGCTTCACAGGGCGTTCAGGATGTCCTCTAATCCCGTACACCGCCTCATTTTTCGTTACACACAAGTGTGTTCAGTCCCCTCAACAAACGTTTATATAAAGCAATTTCAAAGAATTGTCAGGATATATATCAGTCTGCTTTCCAGCCCAGCCTGGCATGACTTAAACCTCTATTGGAACGGTCAAACTATTTGTAGGAGTTTGAGGTTAATTACAGCTGTCTGAACCTTTTCCAGTATGCTGCAAAAGTTACAAGAGAGCTACGCCCAAGGTGTGTTTTCTACTGTGATACCGTCTGAAACACCACTTTCTGCTGTCACCCGGTCCTCTCGGGCTGGGAAATTTTGACTTCACCCGAGAACACACCAGCAGCAAACCAAACAACAAAGACAAAATGCTGACTACACCATAGCTCGTCGCAAGTGGGATTGATTTCCCCTTCGACTTTGTTCAACAGATGATTTTGTCAAAAAAAAAAAAAAAAGAAATCCGTACAAAATGAGTCACAGCTTAAACTGCTAAATCACAGTAATGCTCAGATCCACTCCAATAAAAGTCCCACCACGGCGCCGAGTACCCCCGGTGCAGTTTTAAGCCGGCTCATTTGGCTCCCCCGGCCGCGGGCAGCGCTGCGCGGGGCCGTGCGGAGCGGTCGCGGTCCCGTCCCCCGCCCTGCCGAAGCCTCCGCGGCCCGGCCCGGCGGCCGCAGCGCGGGGGGGGGGCTCGGGGCTGGCGGCACCGGCTTGGGCTGCGCCGCCGGGTCCAGCCCGGAGCCCTGCCCCGGAGGGGTCCTCTCCCCCGGGCCGATTACCGTCGTTATCCTCGCGGTCTTCTCTTTAGGGAACACCGACGGCTGCCAAGCAGGGGGAGCTCCGCCGGCAGCGTTCTTCCTCGGCGGGCCCGCCAGTACGGGACGCGATGCCCAAACACGTCCCTGCCTCAAGTCCCCCGACCCTTCCCTGCGCCCCGCACGCCCCCCGGGGCAGTTTGCTCAGAGCTACACCGGCGGTGCCGCCCCACCCTCTCCGGCACCGGGGCTCTCCCAGCGTGGCTCCGAGCAGACTCCGGGCTCGGTTTGCCTCTCCTCCCCCACGGCGCCCCGGCCGGGACAATCGTCCGGCTTCCTCAGACGGAGCTGGAGCGGGGCGCGGGGGGAGGAAGGACGAGGAAGAGCAGGGGGAGGGCAGTGCGCCCCGTGTGCCCCCCGGCCCCGCAGCGGCCGGGCGGGCCGGGCAGCTCTGTGGCCGCGGGGCTTTCAGGGAGCTGCCAGCCCTGTCCGTGCAGGTGCGGGTGTCCGTGCCTCTGGGGAAGGAAGGAAGGAGGGAAGGAAAGATGGAAGGGGAAGGGGAGGGGAAGGACGGGAAGGGAAGCCCATGATTGACAGCTCCAGTTAGCTCTGCTCCACTCACACTCCGCCAAAGTTTTCTTTCACACGGAGGGAACTTTGCTGTTGCCATGAAACTTGGGGGTTTTGAAAGCGCCGTCCCCTCCCCCCCCCCCCCCCCCCCCCCCCTTTGGAGCAATCGACTGGAAAAACTCAAGTGGCGATGGGGTAGGCGTAGGTGGGGGTGGCCGGGAGTGCCCGCTCGGCAGCCAGCCCGGCCCCGCTCGCATCCGCGCCGCCGCCTGCCCCGGGCTGCGCCTCTCCCGGCGGGACAGCGCACGGCGGCCGTGCTCGGCCCCGGCAGGGCAACGCGCGTTCTCTGCGAGGAGAGGGATCAGAAGTGGAAAAGTTTAATCCGTCCCCCGCTCCATTCATCCGCTCCGGGGAGCTGGGGGGGGTTGGGGGGGGTGTCCGTACAGCGCGGGCTCACTCGGTCACCAGGCACCTTCTCCGGGCTCGGCACAGGGCTGTGCATCCGCCCGGGCCCCCCCAAATCTCCTCGTGCCCGGTGAACGCGCGGCTCCCGCTTGCGGCACAGAGCTCCGCCCCGCTCCTCCTCCCCGCGCCCCCCCAGAGGGCAGCCCCGGCCCGCCCGGGTCCGCTCCTTCCCCCGCGGCGCAGCCGGGCTCCCCACCGGCCCCTCCGCACCGCGCAGCCCCCGCGCTGCCCCGACCCGCCGCCGAGGCCGCCATCCCCGGGCCGGGGGCGGGCGCGGGGCCCGGGGGGTGCGGGGTGGCGGCACCCAGGGGTGCGGTGGGGACGTGGGGGGTGTCCGGTACCAGCAGCCTCCATACGGCAACTTTTTGGCTCCCCCCAGCTGGTCGGTTACCGGCGTCGGGGCTGTCGGGAACCGCTCACTGATTGGCTGCCGCCCGCTCATTTATAGCCCGTCAATCAAATACCCCCGGGATTGGTGCGCGCATCGCCTGGCGCTGCCCGCGGGAAGCGCTCCTCTCCGCACCGGTCCGCAGGCGCGGCCGCTGCAGCAGCAACAGCAGCACCTCCTCGGGGAGCGGCGCCTCCGCCCCCCAGGCAGAAAAACTTCCTTCTTCCGCAGCAGCCGCCCAGGCAGGTTCTTTCCCCTTCTCTTTTTCTTTTTTTTTTTTTTTTTTTTTTTTTTTTTTACTTCCTCTCCCCTATCTGGTGCCCACCTGCCCGCCACCCTGGCGCACCTCTTGCCGGCTCCGGCCATGTACAGCATGCTGGAGACTGAGATCAAGACGCCGCAGCCCACGCCGGGCAGCGCCGGGGGCAACCCCGCTCCGGGGAGCAACAGCAAAGGCGGCGGAGGCGGCGGGGCCAGCAACGGAGCGGGAGCCGGCTCGGACCAGGACCGGGTGAAACGTCCCATGAACGCCTTCATGGTGTGGTCGCGGGGCCAGCGGCGGAAGATGGCCCAGGAGAACCCCAAGATGCACAACTCGGAGATCAGCAAGCGCCTTGGGGCCGACTGGAAGCTGCTGAGCGATGCTGAGAAGCGGCCCTTCATCGACGAGGCCAAGCGGCTGCGGGCCGTCCACATGAAGGAGTATCCGGATTACAAATACCGGCCCCGAAGGAAGACCAAGACCTTGCTGAAGAAGGACAAATACTCGCTGCCCGGCAATCTACTGGCCCCGGGGGGGGGCAACGCGGTGAGCAGCCCCGTCGGGGTGGGACAGAGGATTGATACTTATGCCCACATGAACGGCTGGACCAACGGGGCTTACTCGCTGATGCAAGACCAGCTGGGCTACAGCCAGCACCCGGGCATGAACAGCCCCCAGCTGCAGCAGATGCACCGCTACGACATGACAGGCCTGCAGTACAGCCCCATGATGTCCACGGCCCAGACCTACATGAACGCCGCCTCCACCTACAGCATGTCCCCCGCCGCCTACGGCCAGCAGCCCTCCACGGCCATGAGCCTGGGCTCCATGGGCTCGGTGGTGAAATCCGAGCCCAGCTCGCCGCCTCCTGCCATCACTTCCCACTCGCAGAGGGCCTGCCTGGGAGACCTGCGGGATATGATCAGCATGTACCTGCCCCCGGGGGGGGATGCCACAGACCCTTCCACCCTGCAGGGTAGCAGGTTACACAGCGTCCACCAGCACTACCAGAGTGCCGGAACTGGCGTGAATGGTACCGTACCACTAACTCACATATAAACTTGGCTGCTCCGGACGGCTCCCCGTCTTAATCCCTAACCCCACCACTGCTCCCTGACTACACCGGGACGTACGGCAGTGTTGCTCGGCTTAGCAGACTTAATACTAACTCTGGAGAAATTTTAAAAAGGAAATCCGTTAGTTGTGTCTTTTTTTTTTTTTTTTTTTTTTTTTTTTGGTACAAAAAACTATTTGAACAAGCTGTTATTTTAATAGTGCACAACTCCTGCCTCCTTAGAAGTCTGTGAAGTTTTCAAACCACGGCAACTTCTTTCCTGGTTTCTACTAGGTTGGGCACTGTTTTATTCGGTTAAAAGTTTTTAAAAGATCTTGCATCTTTCAGTTTGATTTATAGCGTTGCAAAGAAAAAACAAAACAAATCAGAACAAAAACAAAAACAACCCACAAAACCAAAACAAGAAATCCCCAAAACCTACCGGCAGGCTTTTGTTTTTAAACACAGTTGTTAACATTATCGTTGTGGTTTCTTAAATGTTTTATTCTTTCTACCTTACCGAGCCTCGGTTGGCTTCTATCCAGAATCTGTAGCTTCCACGAATTTTTAACTTTAGGGGTTTGATCCTTAAAAAAAAAAAAGGGAGGTGGGAGAGAGCTGTGCGGGTTGCAAACGCATTTCTTTTATTTATAGTAAGTTGTGTGTCTTGGTTTTTCTTAAGCTGTAAACTTATGTAAATTGGTTTGTGAATTTGACTGTGAACCATGTTTTGACGTATCGGATGAAGAAACGTTTTAGTTTTGTTTACCGGATTTCTTCCAAAAAGAAAAAAAAAAAAGTCATCGAAATACTTCCCTTTCCCTGTCCCTACTCGTTTGCTTCCTTCTTCCAAACGAAGAGAGATCAATAAATTTTATATCGGGCACGTCGGCAGTCTCCAGGCGGTTTGTGCGGGGGCGGGCGCGCAGCCGGTCCCTCCGCGGCGGCGGAGGAGCGCGGAGCGGGCGCGGCGGCTCCTTCCCGGGGGTCGCCGCCGTCCCGCCGCCCGGCCGAGGAGCCCCGGAGCTGCCGTCGCTTTGCGACCGGGTTTCTGCGGCTGCCGCGCCGTGGGGCATTTGGGTTGGGGGCGGGGGTTGGGGAGTGCTCCTTCGAGTTGATTTTCCGCTAAAGAAAAGCGGGACCCGGGCCGGGAAAGCGTCGCTGTGCCAGTGAAGCTGCTGCTCTCCGAGCCGCCAGCCACTTGTTGCCGCTCCGCCCGCTTGGTTTCTCTCGGCCGACGGGGAGGGAAGGGGGTTATAGGTGTGCGCCTTGGTTTGTGTGTTTTTTTTTGTTTGTTTTTGGGTTAGTTTTGTTTTTTTATTTTTCTCCGAAGGATTTGCCTAGAAACTCGAGCTCATCTGAAATATTTACAAAAGTAAAACCCGTTGGGGAACTCTTAATTAGACTCTATTAAAAATGAATGGTTACAGGAGTCCCCAGAGGAAATAAATAATTCAATCTTTCCAGTATGTTTGAGGAGTGTGTTTTTAGTCTGGACGACTTTCCTTTTCCCTTTTTTTTTAGGGGTCTGCGCTGTTCCTGGCTGTTTCTGTGGGCGCTGCAGCACAGCCCCGAGCCGCTGCCCCCGCGGAGCCCCGCTGCCGCCGGCCGAGCTGGGACCCCGGTTACCGCTCCCTCTGCCCGGCGGCTCCAGCCGGGCGCCCCCGGCCGCCCCCCGGCTCCTCCGCCCGCGGGCCGGGCCGCGCCGGGCCGGGCGCTCCGTAGCCTGGGCGCCCTTGCAGGCGGTCAGCGAATTTCGCAGCATTTCGCAGCGCAACTCCCCCCCCTCGAGCCTCTGCCTTTCGTTTCCTGCCACTAATGTTTTTGGCGGTTTGCTTAGTAAAGTTGAGGGAACTGGAGGGTGCTTTTGTTGTCTGTTTTGGTTAACGGGGCCTCCTTTGCTCCCCCCTTACCAACAGCAGTTTCGGGGAGATTTTGTGCCCCTCCGTTGCCTGCTTGTGGCTGCCGAGATCTGCCGAAGGCAGTGGGAGCCACTTTCCCTTCCCTTCTGCTTTCCACCCTCCCCATCGACCGGGCCGGGGGTCCCGCACCGTCTCCCCATCCCACAGTGTGGATGCCGGGCAGCGGTTCCTGCCTTTTTCTCCTTCGGGATGCACGTCCAGGCTCGGGCAGGGCCTTCCTCCAGCTCTTCCAAGAGGAAAAGCAATGTTCTGCAAACCACACTGCGAGTCTCCTTCTCTGGTGTGAGGTGCCTGGCTCCGGGCCACCCGGGGGAGGGGGAGTGCCGGGACCAGCCACTGCAGGTGCTCAACCCGGGGAGGGACCCTGGCCCACGCACGCTCCCTTGGGTCCCTGTGGTAAGGCCCCGGCACCACACACGCTCCCCCCTGCTCAGGGACGGCCGTGCCGCAACTGGGGGTAATCACTTTACAAATGAGAACCCAGTGTGTTTAATACCTACAGCTCAAGTCCTTCCATAACATTTATGGTGAAATCTGGCAAACCTGTGGCGCTGCTTTCTCCTGATTGAGCTGCTAACTTTCGGGTAGGAGTGTGCCTGTTATTAGCTCTGTGAGGAGAAAAAAAAACCCATAAACCGGTGGTCTGAGAGAAAGTGATAACATCAGTGGTGTTGGTACAGTACATGGAGAGATGTTAGAGGGGGGCAACAGCAGGTCCTGTTTCATCTCAGCTGGGGGTCAAACTGCTCCTCAGTGGTCTCCAGAAGAGGTGGTGCCCGGGCAGCCCTGGGAGGGGAAGTGCAATGATCCCATTCCACGAAACTGGTCTTCCTCAGACAGGTATGTGGTGCAAGTCTGGCAAAAGTGAAGGCTCCTGAGCAGGTGAACTGCTGCCAGCCCTGGAACTGTATTTGAGATCTTCAGAGTTGAATCGCAAGCTGCATCCTTATAAGTAGTTCTCTTCATCTGAGTTCTTTGGAAGTGGATTCTCTGCCATGAAAGGGGAAAAAACAGTGTTGTTCAAAGGTTTGCAGTATTTTTAAGTTCAAGTTATCCTCCTCGTTTGCCTGTAAGTTGGGGCCTAAGGAGAGTTTGTGAGCAAGTACCTGGGGGGTCAGAGAGAGATGTTTCTGTATAAACTACCTTGTTCTCTCTGAAAACTCATCTTAGCAGTTTGGCTTGTGGATGCTTTTTCTGAGCTATTGACTTTGAGATGCCCAGACAAAATCCTCCACACAGTTTTCAGCTTCCTGGGGCTGAACTTTATCCTGAAGTTCATAAGTTGTGGGCAGAGCAAGTGGAAGGGTTTTAAACGGTCACACACCACTGGATGGGGGAGAGACCCATTCCAAGGTGAAAGCAGTGAACCCAGCCTTGTACATAAGCACAAGTACATACACAACCTCATCTTCCCAGAACACAAAGTGTATTTTCCATCTGAGAGCCAACAGCATAGCAGGAGGCATTGCCTGAAAGACAACTTTTTTTCAAAGAGCACTGTTACACCCTTTGCTTGGACTCAAGAAATTTGCCTCGAGAACAAATGCAGAAACACATTCCCTTTAGAATGAATGAAGGTATGTTTTATTTGTACTGAACTTAATTTTAAAATTTTCAATTTATTCTGGACATACATCCTGGATGCATTAAATCTAAATGCTTTTTGAGCAATGCCAGTGTGGGATTTCATACTCCTGCTTCTGTGGGAGGGATCAGAATCAAGCCATTAACATTCTCAGGGAGAGCAGGTGAAGTTACAAACAGTTATGTATGAGACATGTTTGCTTTGTGGAAGATGCATCTGCACAGGATCCTTCGCTTCAGAAATCCACAGCACTTTGCCAGATAGGGCTGTAAGTGAAATGCTGTGTTATTGTGTCTGCAAAATCATTAGCAACTGTTTGCACAATTTAAAAAACTACAGACTTATTCTAGAACATCTCAAATAGATGGAAGTGCATCCATTATCCTTAGAAAGACTAAACATCAACTGTGGAGAGGTTAATAATGTTAGCTTTAAGTGTAATGACAATTTTTAGGCTTTTGCATTAACACTTTTTTGAATGGAAAAGTGACAGATCATACTTGGTGCTACTGTTAGTCTGTCAAAACCCAGCATATTGGGTTACATTTTCATGGTTCCTTCCTATACCAAAGAGTTGCAGAGTTAATTTATTTCAACAAAAATTGGTAAGTGAAAATATTTTCAATTAAGATTTTGAGACAGTCTGGTTAGGGAGTAAATTCTAATAATTAGCAGAGAAATCTGGTTGTAGGTATTTTTAAAATATTCATTAAACCACAAATTTTTGTATTTCTATTATTTTTTGCTGCGAGAAGACATTAATACTAAATTCCGTAAAAAGCATATGATTAGCATAAATACTTTATTAAAACGTTTATAAATCAGTGCTTTCTCATATCAAACATGAGACTAAGATACTTTTCAGGAACATTAGAAATATAGGAACTCGTCTAACTATCTTCTGATGTTAATGGAAAGAATTATTTCATAGGAATGAATACAGTGAAGAAGTGAGGTTAGGTGATGTGCAGGACTGGAATGTTGCTGCTATTTCCAATGCCTGCAAAAGTGATAAGTTTGATACATCTTCTTTTCTACTTATAGAATTTGATCCTAGATTTACTGTAGTCAAGTCCAGTTAATTTACATGGTGCAGATTCAGATTATTCCTATGGTAAACCTGGAGTGAAAAAACACTGAAATCTTAGATAAAATGTGAATAATTTTCTTTTAAGATTTCTCAAGGAAGATGTGGAGAGCTGTTATTGCAGATCTGTTTGCATGGGATAATTTAGTGATTAATTTTGATTAAGTTTTCCAGAACAGTTTCCCATATGCTTCTCTATCGTGACTTTTTACTGATGCAACAATAATTGCAACACAGTGACATCCCCTCAGGATGAGGAATTAATTATTCTTTGCTGTGAATACCATTCACAGCCAACTTCTTTGTGCTGATAGTCAAGTAAACAGGATTTTGGATTTGCCTCTTCCAAAGACATCCTCAGAAGTTCTTTATCCATTTTATACCTCAGTTTTCCAGTTTCTAAAATGAGATCTATACCTACTGAGTGCAGCAGAGGAGGTTGCAATGCATGTGAGTGTGTGAGAGCAAGAAAATGGGGGCATGTGTCACAGTAAATCCATGAAGAGAGGTATTTATACCTATTCTGTGATTGAAAAAAAAAAAAAAAAAAAAGTAGGTAATGCTTAAATGTTACTTAAGTTAGCATT